GAGTTTTATTTTGTAAAATGTTAAAATGTCCGTGTGTTTGCATGATTATCAAATTCTCAGAGAATATGGGTTTTTTTTTTGTTCTTGGGAGAATCTGTTGGGTTTATGTTCAAATACTCAAAGATATAACAAAATTAGAGTACAAAACCACTGATAAAAAAAATAATAACCAAATTAGTGTCCGAATCTTCAGCTTCAGTTGAATAAGTTTCTCAAAAGTTTGTTTTGTTCCCTGTAAAGTTGGATACATCTTTTACCACTTTTTCTATAACTCAAATCATTTGATTTTTTCAAAATCATTTATCGTTAAAACTTGTAAAAACTACTCTTGACGTTTTGTAAACTCTGATTGTGTATTTTATACTAATATATATCCATCCCTTGTTCAATGAATTTTTGCAGGTACAAGTAACATTAGAGAACAACCAAGAGTACCGCCACGTGGAAAAGCCAGGTTGGAAGCTGAGTTGGCATTGGCTAAACAAAGAAGTGATATGGGACATGAAAGGAGCTGAGACAACAGAGCAAGGCAATTGCTCAGCCTTTGCCTCCAGCGGCAACCTCCMTCACTGTTGTCTCCGGCGACCAACAATCGTCGACCTTCTTCCCGGAGCTCCTTTCAACACTCAAGTCTCCAACTGTTGTCGTGGAGGCGTCTTGACTTCTATGTCTCAAGACCACATCAATCATATTTCTGCTTTCCATTTGGACATTGGAAGCTCTCCTGATGATCCTGATGAGTTTAATATGCCTTACAATTTCGATATCGGAGTCGCGGGTTATAGCTGCGACAATGCTACATCCGTGCTACCTACTAAGTACACTGTTGATAAGGGCCGTCGCAAAACTCAAGCTCTAGGTAAAGAAAATTCTTCTCCTTTCCGCTACTAATTACATTCGTTTTTGGTAACAATGTAATAATCACTTGAAAACGTACAAACACACATTACTTGTGTAGATTTATAGACTCTTAACTTATTAAGTGATGTTATTTAATTACAAGAAGAAGTTGAGCAATATAAAATTGATTGCTTATATATTTGGTTTTTCATGGACTCGAACATATTTTTTTTTTGGCGTTGTGTTTGATCTTGAGAACAGCAACATGGGAGGCAGTGTGTGTGTACTCGCAGTTTCGGTCATCACAATCACCAAAATGCTGCGTTTCACTCTCTGCTTTCTACTACCAAAACATCGTTCCCTGTCCTACATGTAGCTGTGGCTGCTCTAGTTCTCATTGCGTCAAGTAATCAACTCTTGTTTAATGACTTTTGTGCTTAGTGTCCTATAAAAGTAGCCCTGAGGTTTCTTGATGTTTTTCTTCTTCAGGCCTGGTGAAATACCTCCATATCTGGAACAGAAACATGATCCCGAGGAGGAAGTACCACCCGTGGTTCAATGTACGAATCATATGTGTCCGATCCACATCCATTGGCATGTGAAAGTTAACTATAGAGAGTATTGGAGGGTTAAGATAACAGCAACGAATCTCAACACAATGAAGAATTACACTGATTGGAACTTAGTAGTTCTTCATCCGAACTTGAAAAGCGTCCAACAAGTCTTTAGCTTTAACTACAAATCCTTAACACCTTATCACAACAACATCAGTAAGTTAATAATTCTTACTTAAAAAAAACAAACTTTTATTCTCTTTTCTTGGATTCTTCTTTGAAAATCTTGGATTCTTGTTTCAGATGACACAGGGATGTTTTGGGGAGTCAAGTTTTACAATAATGTATTGCTTCAAGCAGGGAAGATTGGAAATGTGCAAACAGAGTTATTGCTAAAGAAAGATATGGGAAATTTCACATTTAGAGAAGGTTGGGCTTTCCCAAGGAGAATCTTGTTCAATGGTGATGAATGTGTTATGCCTTCTCCAGATGATTATCCGAGGCTCCCTAG